GGACTCAGATCTTGGTCTCCAGCACTGCAGCATGCCAACAGGGGGCGGCAGAGATACACGGGGGTAAATGAATGAGTTTTACTATTAAGGTTTTACTTGATACATACACTGTTTCATTACATATAATTTGATGAATAAAGAGTTCAAATCCATGTCTTTTACAAAATATTGTGCACTTGTGGCCAGAAAATTTATACAAATAGATTTTTTGTTTTTGCAAGAAAATGTGGTACATATAGTACAGTATGAGTTAACCTTGCTTTTCTTCATTCCTAGTTGTTTTATTCATGATTAGAATATTCACATTAAATCCAGATTCACATAAAGCATTTCATGTCAATGACTTTTCAAAACAGAGTCAGTAAATTTTTCCTCCTCGAGGGAGTTACATTTCTCTCTCTGTTTTATTTTTCTTGGGTTTCAGCCCAGATATTTTCAGACATCCTGATCCCATGAAGAGAAACCAGTGCATGCAACCTCTCTCAGATGGTAACTCTTTTTTAAAACGTCAAAATCACAGAAAACCTACTGATTTATTTTAGTGATCAAGTTGTTTGCCGTTCATTTGTTTTAGACAATGAATTTGTGCTGCATTCTGGTTTTAGATGAGATGTCGCTATGCTCTGAGCTGTTAGACAGAGAGATTAACAGGTTTCTGAAGCCGCCCTCTCCCACTAAACCCCGCAATCTACGCTGTGCAGGTGTGTGTCTGTGTATAAATGCAAACAAACAACACATTAGATAACAAAAGTAATACGTTCTCCCACTTTCTGGTTTCTTAGTACTCTCATTGATCTTTTTGTCTCAAATACTAATTTTATCCATGCCGTCACATGCACACGCATGCACCTTTTCCATCTCCCAGGTTGTGTGAAACATATGAATGAGATGGACAGTCGTTCATTTGGCGCCGTGTTGCGTAGCTGCAGGTTTCAGTGTGACTTTCACCTGGTGCTACAAGAGGTTGAGGATCGATTCAAGAGAAGCCAGCAGTTAGAGAAGACTAGCCACAATTTAACAAATGCTCATATCAACACACACGGCAAAAACAGAGAGCATAGCACATGCACTAATGGGGATAATAAGAGGAGCAAGATGGAAAAACACAGACTGAGTCACCAACCATCAGACGGATGTAAGAGACAGCATCCACACAGTCTTTCACAATGTCTTTGGGATTGTGGAGGAATGTGCACCTACCTCAAATGTTTAGAAAGTAGCTTTGATAGAACAAGGCCTGGAGAACAAAACACACACGAGTTACATTTATCAATTTAGCAGATGCTTTCATTCAAAATGAGATTTAAATTTTATACACACATGCTATATTGGGGATTTTGTGCATTTTGTGTTTTCTGTTTTGTAATTGTCAGTGTGTTTATTTCTTCAGGTTTTAGACTCACACCACTGAGAAGGCCGTGTGAAACAAACGGTAAGAGAAGTGCTCCTTTCCTGTAGATGCATCTCAGTCACTTTGAGTTTGATGGAGGGGGCTGTGAAATTCAGGTGTCTGTGCCACTATAAACATCTGAAAAATGCCATAAAGTTTTCTAAACGATGTGTGTGCATGCAAAGAACTGGGTTATAATATTGAATAAGGTGCTGTTCTGTAACACAAGACTCGTGTGCTTTCCACTTTTGTCTATGCTCCTAAAATTTCTTTCCAACTTTATTCTTGTTTTTTTTTTCCTTTGTGTCCTCCTTTTTCCTTCAGTCTCACTCATTCCATTGCCGAGTTGTGGTCTCTGAGTGCTGTTCATTTGTTCCTATGTGGCTTCTTTCCCGTTGCCTCAGAACAGACTCACTAGACTTTCTAGAGATGTTCTCACTATAATTGTCAAGTAAACGAAAATAATGTACCATCATCCAGTCATTATCGCAAGTCTGGATACCCCAATGAAAAATAAAGAAATATTACAGTTAGTGGCCATTATGCGAAAGTACTTTATGCTCCAAATGAGCAATCAGTCAAGTATTCTAAATCTAAAGAACCAGCTTGATGTGTTTCTGTTTCTTTATATTGAATGTTTTTTTTATTTTTATTTATATGCATGCATCCAGTCAACTAGAATAATTTTATGATAGTTTGATTATAAAATATATTTGAGACTAGATAGATCTGGCTATGCGAGACTATAGTTTGAATTAAACCCTTTTCTTGGCATTAAACATTGACTTTACAGTAAAAAAATAGCTCTTTCTGCATTATCTTGAACATTATATAAGCATTTTTTTCATCTTGGGAGCACACGTACACGTCACATCCTTTTTTTCAGGCAAAAATTGTGTCTACAGACTTTGATAGGCAACCTAGAAAGTTGGGGAAAGTCTTGTTTTTTAGGAGTCGTTACAAGTTGCTCACACTGCTAATAGATAAATTGATTAATAGGCCTTATTCAGAGCAGCGCCATGACAGGTATGAAAGTGAGGCTGTGAGGGATAGACTTACCGTGTTTCCAATGGTATCCGCTGTAAAAAGCTGAATAAAGCTCCTAGATTACTTACAATTTTCCACAGCTTACGTTGTTGGGAGTTTTTTGTCAACTGACATTTCTTGGAAAGATATTTTTCCAGTGTTTCATGAACAGAACAATCCGAAAACACATTAAATAACATACAGCCCATTGAAGAGATGCATGTCTATCCCTCACAGCCTCGCTTTCATTCTCATTAAAAATCAAAGATGGCGCTGCCGTGAATAAGGCGTATACATGAAAATTCTTACATATGTAAAATATAATATGATATTGTATTATTATTATTATTTTAAAATTGCATTTTATTAATTTATAGTCTTGATACCTGAATGGAACAAGTAAATGAAATGTTTATCTAAGATTTAAACAAAGGAGTATTTTTGTGTGTGTGTGTGTGAGAGAGAGAGCAAGACAGATAGTTGGAGCATATTGTGTAGGTAAGATGGGTAACTAGATTATGGGTCCCTGGGGGTTCTGAGCTCTAGTTATTGAGCTGTTACTATGGAGACTAGTCTGTTTTGTACCCCAGAACAAAGTCATTAGGACAGAGGATATGACCGGACACAAGCACACGCTGAGTTACAGGATTTTCACACACTGTTTCACTTTAGATCAGTGTGTTCCAATCTGCCAATGCACACGTTCACATCCATGCATGCACATACAGTACACACAAAGTGTTTTGTTCTTCTCAAGAGTTGGTGGAATGAATGTAGAAAAAAAAGTCCTGCCATAGTCCTGCTAAAGAGCGGTGTGTATTTGTTCTTTAGGTTACTAGTACAGGCCAGGGTTTAGTACTGTGTGTGCAGTTTCAGTCTGGCCACTAAATCATTGTAAAGATCAATACTCCTCCCTGCTGCCCTGTGCAAGTCCTACCATTAGTATTGCTGTTGCCAGCATAGACACATTTTGAATGCTTTGGTACTTTAATTCCAAAGAATTATTACTCTCTTTTTGTTTTCTCTCAGGCCCAGACATGGAAAACAACATGCATCACATACATAAGAAGAAAACCTCAGAATACGGTCTCCCAAAAAATGTATGGTACTGTTAGTTTTTGGTGAAAGGATAATAGCATGATTTCACACTAACTAAACCTGCATTGAACCTGGAACATCCTATGACGTTTTAGATGTTCAGGCAGTCATGCATTCTACAATTTTATTTTCGATATAATATTCTGAGCAGAATCAGAAAATACAAATGTAAAAATGCAATAACTTCTTTGAAATTCAATTCAAAGATTAATTTACTAAGCAGTTACAGTATGAACAGGCAATGTTCATATTTTGCATGCATATGCCTAATCATCTTTAGTCCACATTTTTTCATAATTTGTATTTGTTTTCTCGTTTAGTCTTCAGGCAGACACAGAGAGAGGCAGAACTGGTCTGCTGAGGAGTTGCGCTATCTCAAAATGGGTGTGAAAAGGTTTGGTCACTCCTGGAACTCCATCCTCTGGACGTATCCCTTCCATCCCAGTCGCACCAATGTAGGCCTGGCCAAGAAGTACCGACACATGCAGGCATGATAAGACCAATAGTGAAGATGTGTTTTCTGAATACTGGAACTTACAATATAAATTTAACAAAGTCAAGAACGTACTTCACACACAAAAAAAATGGCATATTGGGCATAAAGAAGCCTTTTAGGATGATTACAATGTTTTGAAAATCCTCATTCTTATTACTGTAATGCAAAAAATAGGATGTAAATAATATATTGTATTATCTGTTGTACGGTATTCATTTTAGCATGACTTTGATTAAAAAAATCCAACAGGATGATTTACATTACAGTAATGAGAAATGAGAGGTGCTCAATTTCACATTGTAAAAAACCATAATGGTACACATTACACGTACAATCGTACACATAACGTTCGCATAACCTTAAATATGCTAAATACATGAGATGGAAGTTTTATTGCACCTTCAGGGCTATGGAGTTATCTAGCTTTTATATTGTGAAAAGAAGTGCACATATCATATTATTGCTTCCTGTTTCATTTCCCCTAGTAATGCTCTTTCAGAATCCTAATTTCTCTCTCTCTCTCTCTCTCTTTTACTGACAGAAAGCCAAAGCACAGGGTGTAGATCTGTCTGGTGCAGGAGATGGATAAAACATGGACACATTTTCTGCCATGTAATCTATAACGATTTTTCACTATTTGTGTTCTGTCTTATTTAATAGAGTAATATATTGGATGTTTTTGTTTTTGAATTGCTTAGAATTGCTCTTATTTTGCTGTATTGCTGTTTGAAAATAGCACTTTACCAAAGAAATGGAAAAAGAAGAAAAGATTTTGTTTCTTATAAAGTTTTATTTTCTCTTAGGGTAACAGTTACCTGTGTATTTGTTTTGAGTTAAATCCACTTGATTTGCATGGTAGCCACATATTTGTATAAAGTTTACATTGTGCAACTGTTGATTCCTTGGTGTCCGTGTCATCTGTATTCATTCCTCTTATGGTTGAAGTACACAAAGCTCTGTTATACAAGGATAATGAGGCATGGCATTTCCTTGAGATTCCAGGCCAGCGAGCAAAAGCGGCTTAATATTTTATTAAAAACTTTGTTACACACTAAGTACAGAAAATTCAGTGGAAGGATGTTTATTTGAATAAATCCAAAGTTTCTTAGGACAAGAGCCAGAAAGTTAACCAAAAAAAAAAAAAAACTCCCATGAGACCCCTTTTCTGTGGAAAGAATGTTGCCCCTCTCCCCAGAAGATTCTCTGAGAAAACTTAAGATGTGCATAAAAGAGAGATAGTGCATGTTATCTTCCCTGAAAATTCCCGGGAAACTCCTATGTTTTGGGATAGTTCACACAATATTATGTTGAGTTTGGTATTATTTACAGCCCTGTGGTAATGTTGTGTCAAATTATTTTCACAGACTGCACTTTTGTTCGGAAGACATGAATACATTCCACAAATTTTATTAAATGCCTAGTATAAAATACAGATCAAGAAAAGAACATTTTTGTAATGTCTTGCAGTCTTTATTTTCCTTTACTACAATCATTGTTTTAATGTACATTCTTTTCCTCTTCTATGGGAGATTGGCTGCACGTTTCATACACAATTGCCAAGAGCTTGGAAGAATATAGAAGAAAAAAATATGAATCAGGAGGCATAACATCTGACATCTGAGGTGACTTGTTTCCTCATTCAGAGGGCTCTTTCAACTTTCTCATGACACACTTGTGCAGAAATCAAGGCTTTTAAACTTTTGTCCAAATACAGATTTTGGTTATTTAATTATAAAAAGTAAAAAAAAAAAAAAAAAGTTATTTAATTTGCACTTAGTTTCAAATTCAAATTGCTATCCCAGATCAATCCTGAATGACACAGCCCTATTTTACGATCATCCAGCTGCTACTGTTTTCTAGAGGCGAGTGTAGTGATTTATATAACGTTGACATTGTCAACTGCGTTCTGTCCCATATCTTCCAAAGTGAATGAAGGATCCGAATTAGGGATTGTGGATTCATGGGTCAGTTTACAATCCAGGAGGTCCAATGAGGGTGTCTCCACCTTATCCAGACATTCCAACAAATCCTTGTTCTCAGCTGGTGCAGGACTACTAACTTTGTCTTCCATCGTCTCATTGGTTATGGCTTCACTTGCCATTGTGACTCCAGTAATGAGGGCTTCAGAGATAGGAGATTTCAGCAGGTCATCCAAGAGACTGGGTTCTTGACGAACATCAGAAGCATCGAGGTCAGGTTGAGACTTCTGCTCTGGAGCGGCAGGTTCCTTCCCAATCAGGCTGACGGATGCCAATGCGGACTCCACTGCTTCGATACCTTTGTTTACAACATCTTCCACCGGTGCAGATATCTGTTCAGTGACTGCATCGACCGTTTCTTCAACAGCTTGTGTAATGGTCTGCAGAACACTGGTTGAAGAGGCCGTCTTGCCCTCTGGAACCTCACTTTTCTGCTCTGCATTCTCAGTCACAGTGGAGTCCTCTGGTGTTGCAGACTCCTCTACAGCTGGAGCTGTTGTCTCTGCTCCTATCCCTACTTCACTCTTCTTCCGACTGAGCTTCGCTCCCATTCTGCCCCCTTTGCAATAGAGGGATACATCACAGTTATTAAAGCAAGCTCACACAAACAATTATTTTTATGATGGTCTCTCGCGCCACAAAATAGACTGGAGAGATTTCAACACCAGTTTCGGAAGCGATTAGTATTTTGAAAAGAGCTCGAATGGGCCACGGGAAGTGGCTTTAGCTGGAGTAACATGATAAATGAATTACATGATAAAAAAATTCTTTCCGACTAAATCAAGAATGGTTGGTCAAAGTTTGGATGCACTACATATGCATGGGGTCAGAGTGTTTTGCATACCTTTGTTAAGCGTCAACCAGTGGAATTATTAATGCACATCAAAAAACAACGGAATTACTAAGATTAACATGCATCATGACTACTTGTTGAAGCTTGTGTATTACATATGAACATTTTTGTTAATTTCCTAGCATACAAAAAACATTAAAAAACAGTAGGATAGAAATCTTGAACTTTAATGCTAAAATTGGGGACCAGCATGGGTTAACAAGTTTTAGACATCAGAACAGCATGTTCTCTTGTGGTTTTATTGGCTAGAAAGTAGGAAAGAGCCACAAACTCTGATGGATATGAACAGCTTATACTGGAGACATTAAATAAAAGCTTCTCAAAATTCTAACGATTAACATATTTTAGAAAAGTAAATTTATGAGTGATACTTTAATTATATTATTCTTCTAACTCAGCCACACCTTCCTCCAGCTGCTGAAGTGCTTTGAACATGGGTTTCATCTGACCACACTCTTGAAAAGAGGTTTAAAACACAACTTACACTGTCAATGGAAGTTTTAAAAATAATACACCCAAATATCACGGTGGAGTTCAAACCCGTTATAATTTTCACCAATGACGTGGCATCAGAGCTGGGACGGAGGGACAAAGCAGAGTCCTACTAAGAGTACCGATAGACATGATACTTCTTTATCTTTAACATACTACAAAAACAAACGTTGCAAATATTGCAAAGTAACGTTAGCAAGCTATGCATGCGTTGCGAATTGTCAAAACAGTATAAACCCACCTTTATTTGACCGGTGAATGAATGGAGACGCGAGCAGATGCAGGATCAAGGATGATGAGACTGACTGTGCAAAGAGAGGAAAACTCGAAGCTGGTGATGAACAGTTTCCAAATGAATCGCTCTTTTGAGCCGATTCTTTTTAATGATTCGATTGAGCCGATTCTCAAAGCTTTTGTTGTTTAATGGGCCTACTGTGAAAATTACCTGACATAAAAAGTCATTTAAAAGGCTGACGGCTTGTTGAAGTCTAATAATAATTAGCACACTATTCAACGGCCTATATATAAAAAATAAAAATAAGTCCGTGAGACTAGACTGTGCAAAGCCATATATATATGGCTTTGCACAGTCAGTCTCACGGACTTTTTATGTTTATATATATATATATATATATATATATATATATATATATAAACATAAAAAGTCCGTGAGACTGACTGTATATATAATATAGAAAGAAAGCGACCCAAAAGAGCCGTTTTGTGACAGTTCAAATGAAAAGAACCGAGTCGGTTAAATGAATCAGACATGCTAGCCCTGACTCCTCCGTCATTTTCAACAGGGCTGTCGGAAATGTGTGCGTCCCACACAGACACTCCCTGCCCCGCCCTTTTCCAAAACGTCACGGATTTATTTTTTAAATGTAGAACTATTGATTAAAGTGACTCATTTACTGCCTCTTTGACTCCACAAACGGTTCAATAAATCACAGGCATTATAGAGCACACACACACAAATACAACAAATAGGCCTAATTTGAATCTGATTTCAGGAACATCAGCATGCATCATCCTGTTGAATAATGTAGAATAATCAATCTTCAATGTCAGGTTCAGAAATTAGGGAATTGAGTTTTTACCCCTAAAATTTAATATAGGCCTCCTAGTATAGCCTTGCGACCAAACGTGTTGTTTTAATTGTGAGAACGCAAGAAACATGCCAAATTGTGCAGACATAATTTTTACCCAGGGTGTACACACAATGAAATTATGCATTTTAACACAATGAAAAAAACAGGAGAGAACAAAATTAATTTAAAATATTATTAGCAGCAATAATAATAACAGTTTTGTTGTTTGGGTCAATCGTCAATGTATGATTTTTTTTCTCTTTTTTTCTCTTTCTTTTTGCATAGTAAACTAAAACCTAGCTGTAATTTATCTTATATGGTTATTAAAAACAAATCACTTTTGGCCAATACTGTGTATAAAATAGTCCACAAGATGGAGACAGAGTTTAGGCTACCTAATTTCTGACGTAACCATAAAAAAATGATCTTTTGAATTTGAAATGAAAAGAGAATTTGAAAAATCCTCTTTTCATTGTTTGCTATTTTCTGTTTGCCTCAACATTTTTTCTTTTTGATTTGAACCAGTGCTTCATTTAAAATTTTTATGTAAAAATTATATGACCCTGATGCTTTATATCTACCCTTTTAATAGTCTGGGTACATCTCCATCTCTTTATATCTCTCTTGTTTTTGTCTATTTGTTTGTTGTTGTTGTTTTGCAGCAGATGATGGCTGTTGTTGTTGTAAAATTGTACAGCTGAAGTTGTAATTGCAGAGCTATGAGAATCTGCTTGTGTAGTGAGTGACATGGATGAAGCTCTTATCACAAGCTCTTCCTTTTTCTTTTTGGAAGGAGCTTTTGGCACAGAAAGGGATGATTAGAAACATGTGTTTCGGAGGAAAGACAGTAGCAAAGTTGGATTAGTGTTGTGTTTATGTTTTTTAATATTTAGATTCCTGTTTTTTATTCTGAAATTGTCATCTCACCACTTAGATACAATCCCTCTGTTGAGCAGGAAATTACAGATTCCCTTCTCAAAAAACAGACAAACACACAAAGAATGCACGTTTCTGGACAGTTTCAGCTGTCAAAAAAAAAAAAAAAAAAATAGGGAATCAAAACTTTAAATCCATCAGAATCTGCTTACAATCAAATACAAAGTATAACTGTCCAGTCATTCAGAGCATATGTAATAATAATCTCCATAGTAATGCTTTGGGTTTTCTCCATTGTGTCTTTGATCACATAATGATGTGTCTGATGATGTAACTCGTGGGATTTTATAACAGACTCATTTGATTTCTGTTTCTGTTTCAGAAATCATTGTGTTTCTAACAAGGTCACATTTTAGACATCTGCGACAAATATTATAAACTTAAACATCTAACAGATTTGGTAGACGCTGTAAATAAGAATATGAATTAAAAGTTTTTGAAATTTTAGTTTTTTACGTTAGTGAGACGAGTGAGAGAAAAGTTACCAGTGTAAATACATTACATAGTTCATTAAACTCTTAAATCTGTTTGTTTTTTTTTAACTTGATGTCAGGCAGTGATCATCTGACCTCTTTGGTGTTAGTGGGTTGCTGGTGGCTTTAATGTATTTTGTGGTTATTTTTAGTCTGAGGGATGTTGAGAGATTTGCTGAAGTCTCAGATTGCTTGACATCAGGACTTTAGTCAGAAAGACTCTCTCCATTTCCCTCCCCATGTTCTCACAGAGAGAGGCCATGCAGCTGCCTTCAATCCTTTCTTTCGGTGAAATCTCAGTTCCCTGGATAGACAGATCTTCTACACTATACTACAGCCATTTACAACATTGTTAAACTGTACCTATAGTTTAAAATAAAGATTCAGTAAATAACCTAAAATATAATAATATAATAGTTTTTTTTTTGTGTGTGTAATTTGATTTAAACTATAAGTTAGACTACCTCATGCCAATAAAGCTTACTGATGTATATGGCAGATCGACGCACTGTTATTCTTTGACACAGTTTTTGCTCTGTGGCTGATTTGCAAAGTCTTAAAGCTGCTTTCCTGAAGGTTTATTTAAAAATACTTTTTGTCATCTAACACACATTTAGAGGATTAGATATGTGACAATAATACAATTGTAAAGAATGACAGACAAAAGAGCCACTCTCTCTGAGAACACACACTTTAGCCACTGTTAACGTCACACACCCTTTGAAATATCTGAAGAAAATCACTTACATTTTTGATGTCATCTTGGAATCAGTCTGATTGTGTGCTCTGTCACATGGTATATTCTAATCCAGAATGCTTCCTGGACTTAACCCCTCAAATCACTTACACATACGGCTATGGGTTTATCTGCATACCATGCATTATTCTATGCTGTTCTGCTTTAGGTTTTAAAGAATATATAGATTGAAAGTTATAATATTAAGCATCTTATATGAAGCTTACAATGTAACTGATTCTGATAAGAGTTAATATCGTTGTTGTGCATTTTCTATATGTATTGTGTGTGTTAGATGACTATAGGATCCTTACTGCTCTGCTGATGAAGCCAGAAAATGAATAAGGTCCTATTGTGTGTGTGTGTGTGTGTGTGTGTGTGTGTGTGTGTGTGTGTGAAGGAGGACAGGAGCCTATATCATGAAGCCGGCTAGGTGTGTGTGTGTGTGTGTGTGTGTGAAGGAGGACAGGAGCCTATATCATGAAGCCGGTTTAGGTGGCTAGCCAGCTATGTTTCACTTCAGTTTGTGCCAACTCTGGGTTTTAGTATACCGAAACCCGGTCCGGGGCAGGTTATGTTCCAGGTAAGAGGTTGCAAACCGAAGTTGGACCAATCAGCTGTGAGCAAAGTGACACATGACGAGATAAAGTCACTCCAAATGATTTTAAAAGACAAAATTATGGCTTTCAGTAAATAAATTTGTATGATTTCGAAATTATTTCTGTAATTATTATACCCTTAAACGATCTCACAAGTACAATTTCAGTTCATCAATTATTATTACTCAGATTTTAAATGAATACGTATAAATAAATAAGCTATAAAATGACTACATGTGAGCTTAAATGTTCAATTCTCTCTATACCTTTATCAACTGTTTAAACTAACCTCACAACTTTTACTTGCACTGATATACACTGCGAGACTTTCTTTTAGTTGTCCTCTTTCATAGACGGCTATTTTCTTGCTGTGTAAATTAATATTTTAATACTTTTATTTAAAAAGTGAATTGCGCTACTTCTCTCGCGAGAAATTAATTTCAATAAGTTTTGAATAGGCTTGTTTGAGATGCGCCTCGCCTCGCCTGCAATGTAGTCGAGAGTAGGCGGCTGCAGTGAGGGGAGGAGTGAAAAAAGCGCAATCAAGCCGGACAGATCTAGGGTTCTCGCAGTGAATCAGACACCTGTGAGATCAAAGGCGGATATCGCGGGATTAACGGGATTCACGCTCGTGCACGTGTTGCTAATAAACTGGATGTGATTTAAGTTCTGTTGCTTTTATATAAAAATAAATATAATGTAAATAAAACCCAAAGTACTTGTTATTTAATTACATTCCAAATAGCCTATGGTTTATCAATCTTTTTTTTCTTTAATACAGACGTGTTTTTATATAGCTAGCCTATTGTTTTAACAAAAATGAAATATAACCCATATGGCACTGTCAGAGAGTTTATTCACCCATAGCCTATGTATACACATCAAACATGATATCAGTTTTAAAATCAAACATTTTAAAAGAGAACAATTCATCTGGTGTTCTTTTATTTTTATTTTTATTTATTTAACTTTTTTATTAGAATGCAAGTTACAAACATAGCCTACCTACAAGCACCACAATTCGTGAAACAAATAGGCCTATTATACAGCGACAAATACATAAACATTAGAATAAAATTAATAATAAAATAAATAAATCAATCAAAATAAGCTTAGCTTAAATAGACAGACTTACAAACTTCATCATCTATAAAATGAGAGCTATTTTTCACTTGAACATTTTAGAGTAGGCCTAGTATATTTGAGTTACTGACTATAGCTTTCTTTTAACCCGTTTAAGAGATTCACAATATAGATCAGTTTCAATTTGCAAAAAATAAATAAATAAAACATGGCCTTGATTTGGAGAATTTAGCTCAATGAATATGGAATTTACCTTCATCACTGTTGTTTAAACCAATGAGCATTAAGCTGTGTCGTCAGCAAGTCGTTTCCCATCATGCTTTTGATCAGCGCAGTCGGTGGAGAGCAACTGCGCGCGACTGCAGAATCCGACCCTTCCGCCTTGCGCTCGCGAGAGTTTTTTGACATACG